ACTACCACCGTGCAAACGCATCTAAAAAAAAAAAATTAGACAAAAAAAAAAGAAGGGTCCGAAGACCCTCCTCCCAAAATTTACCAGAACACGACCGTTCGGACGCATCCGGAAGCGCTGCATACCAATATAGTACAGAAACTGTATCAATAATAGCGTTAGTTAAAAGCACTCCCTCCTCTCCCTGCCCGACGTTTTGCGAGCATTGGGATCATAATAGGATGCGGACGTGTCCACTTTCCCACCATCATGCTTGCCATTTTTTTTTTTTTGCCGTCGTCCTTCGAATAAGTGATCATGGAGGCAGTTTCGTTTTCTCTTGTCTCCGGTCCTCCTCGCCGTCATAGCAAACACAAACGTGTCATCCTCCATCACAACGCCCGAGCCACCACCACCAACAAACTGGTCCAGGCCACGTTGTTTAGCAGATGGTTCGATCTGTGGTACAAGCGAGGTGGGTTCGCCCCATTGAATGACTTTATCTTGCGTGGCCTCACCCACGAGCAAATCAAGACCCTGTGAGACTTTAGTCCACTTCTTCGATGAAGGATCATACTTCTTATGATAGCCCCCCACAAGTAGAAAGACCTTGTTGCCCTTTGCAATTGTTGTGGGTCGAACCGCGTATGTCGCACGGGGCATAAACATATAGTCCTGGCGCATGGTCGTGTCAAAGATGCTGTGAGCCCTTTATTCGTTTGCAGTTACCTCAGCGACAAAGTACGACCAGTTGTTCGCGCAGTCAATGTACCCCGTCACAACCTCAGCATAAACCGTCGTAGTAATTCCCTTATCGGAGTATACGGGCCTGTCCCGGCTCTTGGCAAGTGCAACCAAACCTCCACCAGCACTGGCGAGGAAAGGTGAGACAAAGAAGACCCCAGTTCCACGGCGAGTACGTGTTCCCTCAATGGCTCGACTCAGCACAAAAAGATCAACAATATCTGGTATTTGCATTTCTTTTGGTTCATTTCTCTCGGTGTGCACAGCCGTATTGCTCTGTAAAGCATATCAGCAGCAGCACGGAAAAAGTAGCAGCAGCGAAAAAGAAAAAAGATGCCAGTACATGTTGGGCATATGTCGCTGTTATCTCTTTCTTCTCTCCTTGCGATGGATCCGCTCAGGCCGCAACGATTGTGCGTGTGTGTGTGTTGGCTGGACAAGTGAAGAGGAGCAAAGTAAAAACAAGGGTCGACACAAAAAGCATTGAGGACGTGCAGTCGTCCTGCTGCCAGACGCACGGTCCACTCCCCAGCCACGCGAAGAAGAAACCCACCCACATCCGCAGAGAGGCAAAGAAAGAAAAGCATGTAAAACTTTCTCACAAGCCCAAACAGCGGACAAAAAAAAAGTGAAAGTTTTTAAAAAGGGCATTAGTATAAAAAGATAAGCCAGCAGGGCGTGGTTGCTACTGCCCCTCCCCCCGCCTTTTTTCTCATTATGGAAACTCGTCTTTTGTTTGATATCTTGATGAATTTGCCCCCCCTTTTTTTCCTAATGTGTTTGCGCGGCGCTGACAGTTTTCTATACGTGCCTGCAATCGGGCAAGTTCGGAGCCAACGGCTTTGATAACACGTTGCGGCGCTAAGTGTTCGCACTCCGCGTAGAGCGCGGCGGATCGCTGCACGAGCTCCTCCAAGTCACCCCGCAAAGCCGTGAGGCGAGTCAGTGTTTCTTTTTGTGCCGCTCCGAGTTTTTGCGTTTCCTCTGCGGCGTGGGGAAGGGCGCTAAATGGAACGTCGTCTAGTAGCATGCTCCTTTAGAAAAGACTACCGCGCATGCTAAAAACAACAACAATGAGAGAAATGGAAAAGCAGAACGAATGCTTCAATATATTCTCACTGCTGACAAAAAAAAAAAAAAAAAAAAGATAGTGGAACAACAAAGAAAGAGGAAAGAAAAACACGTCCTCTTTCATGCTTTCTTTCCTCCCCATCGACAATCATGAGAAGAACGGAACGAAAAATAACACAAACTTATGTCTTTCCATTTTCAATTTTCCTTGTCCACACATCGCTCAATGGCATTATATATATTATAAGGGCATGCAGGCTGGCTTCGCTGTGACGTGGTGTTTCACCAACGCCTGTGGATGTGTGTGTGTGTGTGTATGTGTGTTAATCGGAGTTCTTCATGACCTTCACCACCCTCTTAAGAGGGTGTGAGGAATACATTCCTTTTACTTCTTTTAATCCTCAAGGGGAAGAGCGGCTGTTTCTTCCCCCGCAGCATCACTTATTTGCACGACAAACTTACCAAAAAAGTTTTGGGCGAGATTGTTGCGCAGGCGCGGGTTCTGCACCAACTCGTTCTTCACTGCATTGAGAAGTAGCGCATCAGTCAGCATCATTTTTTGCAAAATGATAGAGCTACACTGCTGCATGGCAAGGTCAGCGAGACCCGAAATAATCATACTCACCACCCGCCGCTTGCCGCGTTCATCCAAGTTCAGCATCAAAGTACACAACACGTGTTGTGTCCCCTTCTCACGTGTGAGTTCCATAAAGTGGCGAAGAAGCAAATCACAGATGTCACGATTTGCATGAATCGCTTTTTCAACGACAAACCGTCCATTCAAATGTTTTGACAGCGTCACAACATGTGGGTAGAGCGCGTGACAGAGATGTGTATGCATCGTCGCTTTCACATTATCAAAAAGGCAACCTACAACATGGGAAGCGTACGCATGCTGACACATACTTAGAAGCTCATCACTTTTGCACAGCTTTCGAGCAAGTTCCTCTCCACCACAAAACTTAATATACTCCTGTAGTGTTAAATTTCCAATGGCGTCATACATCAAGGTGTCCATGTCACGACCAATGGCTTTAAGCAGCAGCTGTCCCACTTTAGATTCTTTTACACCACATAATGGCATAAGTTTTCGTACAACCAAACTACCATTGGGGTCACACAGCATGTCCGCCACACTATCTCGTGTTAGTAGCGCCCCTGCAATGTCCTCCACTATGTCCTTCATATGAGTTGCGAGTGACGCCACAACAAGTGCCATTGCCACGTGCACACCAATATAATGTGTTGCCAAATAAGAAAGATGTGGTCCCAACAACTTGAGAATGTGTTTAAAATGTCCCTCCATCGACGACTTCCCCGTACGCGGAATAAGGCCAATGATAGCTTGCACAACAAAGTTAGCGTCAGCAGAGGTGCACATCTCAAGCAGTTTGGTTTCACAGGAGTTCACAACGACGTCTAAGGTTGCATTGGCCTCCACCTCTGAGGCCCACTTTGGCAACTCGGGGGACAAAATATCCTGCAAGAACTTGCAGCCCCGTTTATTCACGAGAAGTGGCGCAAGGTCCATAAACCTCAATAAAGCAGAAGAGTTGACTGAGCAAAGAATGAACGCTCGCATGACTGGAGAAGCCACGGGATCAAGTATTAATGAGAGCAAAGTTTCTTGTGTGTCAGACGCATTATGAGTTGTTTTCTGCCTCTTCTTTGTGTTCTCCGTCACAAGCTCCGTGATACCGAGAGTGTCACCCAACCACGCCACCGTCTCAGTGGGGAAATGCTCAATGAGGTGTTGGATCGTTACGGCTGAGTGGCGGTTGCGGAGTTGCGCCTGCAACTGATCCACTGTTTTGGCATGCTGCCGCAACACCTGGAGAACTCGTTCTTGTATTTCACGGCCACCATGTTGAACTAACGAACTCATCACCTTACAGGCGACATAGTGTTCATAGAGTGTCTCATTCTCCTCAAATGGTTTGGTCACAGCGTCTAGTACCATCGGCTTCTTGCCATTGTTGGCAGCGTCCAGGGCTGCTATCAAGGCACACACCACGCGGCCGCCACACTCATCTTGAAGAACAACCTCAAGTAAAGTCATGGGCTCCTCCTCATCCGTGTCCTCTGTCGTGACAGCGGCCTGATGATCCAATTGCAGAAAGGTATCCGCAATGGTGCTCAGCATGAAGTCATCTGTCGTGTCTTCATCTCGTCGTCGCTTGTGAGATGCTTCAGATTGAGCTCGTTCCAGACCCACTGAACGCAGCAGCGTGCACAGATCCTCAGAAGTGGCGGGAATCCGACAGGCTTGAGAAAACTGTTCCACGAGCATCGCCTTCTTTTCATCCGACAGCTGGGGCTTCTTCAGGGTAGTACGCTTAATGAGTCGCCCACTCGTGTCTTCGCCACGCCGCAACGCCCTGGCTGCAGCCACCTTCCGCTTGCGCTGCTCTCGCGTGTGCTGCACATGCCGCTGGTGGGCACGCTCAAAGCTGGCTTTCTTACCCATGTGTGTGTGTGTGTCACGTCTTGTTACTCTTACCACCAAATACATAGAATGCAAAGGTGGGGTGTCAAGGGAAATGAATAAACGGAAAAAAAAAGTAAAATTAACTCAGATTAAATCTATACACATCACAAAAGTCGAGGTTCACTACTCGCATCGCACACACCATACAAGACACATGCATATATATATTATATCCTCTTTGTAGGACACCCATCCTTCCTCCGTACAGGTCACTTCTTTCATATCCACCCCATTTTGTCCATTACCCAAGTCCCACCAAATGCACAACACATGCACCTTATATAGATGCATCAATGCGGTGTTCAAAACACGCATCAAGAAATTAAAGTCATGCTAGAATTCCAATGTGCCTCATAAAAACCATCCTTTACCTCCGCGTATGGCCTTTACTTGACCGAAGCGCGGAATACCGTACTCCGTCAGGGAGGAATACTTCACCGTGGCATACAAGCCAGTCAGTGAGCGAGGGCCAACCTTCCCAATGTTTCCTTTCCCACCCTTCTTGGACCCCCCTGTGACTTCCAAAAGGTGATCCAGCAACTCCCGCTGCTTCGCTACATCCATCTTGGGAAGTGGAACGCTAAACACGCGCCCTGTATCACTAAGACACTGCAGGCCGTAAAAAACCACCACTTTGCTTTTTTCATTCTTCTTAGACGCGGCCCTCCCAAAAGTTGTCCGAGGGACTGTGATCACATCGCGGCCGCCGTGAAGCGAATCCAGTGGAATGCTAACGAGTTTTCGGGCGCGCGGGTTACTTGACGGAATCTTCAGCAGTGGTTTCAAAATTGCATACTCCTTGTCACAAAACGGAAGTAACTTCACAGCAGTGACGCTACGGCGACCATTCTGCTTTGCCCGCTTCACTGCCGCATTCACAATTGCCTGATGATTCGCATCCTCTGCCTCATTTGCATTGGCCGCAACCTCCGTCTCGTAGCATTCACCAGCACCCATGAAGGCGGTCCATTCATTTTTTGCATAAGTGCGAAGGAGTGGCGGGGCCTTCGCCGCTAACACAGACCTCCTCGACCACGTGGCGGCCTGCCGTCCATCGATAACAAGGCGTTCTCCACTGTAAAGAAGTGGATCCAGCAGCCCTGTCAAGACACCCTTCTCCTTCTCCTTCAGCTCGTACACGTTTGTCGCGCTGCGAATGACGGCCCCTTCGTACCCCCCTGCGAGATATTTATTGAGGTACACCTGCTTTGCCTCGCCGAGGGAGTGAAGCAGCGAGTACGGAATTAGCTGCACATACTCCCCTCCAAGGTTGGTGACCCCCGCCGCAGCAACAGGCGTGTTGCCGCCTCGCCGCTTTAACTTCGCGTGTGACGGGGGGGCGGAGACACCCACGGTTCTGCCAGGAAACAAAATGGAAGAGGTACGGGCGCGATGCAAGAGAGACATAAGAAAGTGCATCACCTTCAGTCGCTGTGAAAAGACGGAGTGGTTTGGAATCACACGCAGTAGTTCCAAATCCCGAACAGTGTTGGCCTTCATCGCTTCCCGAAGAAGTGACACACGCTCCTTCTCAAGCCGCGGCAGGCCTTGCCCACTGCTGTTGTCCGAAACATTTACCACATCAGATGGTTGAAAGGAAACGACATCAAACACGCAGAAGCGGGGGAGCGACGCAACGTAGCTGAGTACTTCCTCCTCAGAGGAACAAGCAGATTTCGGCCCGCGCAGACGATGCACTAATGCTGACACCGCCAGAAACCCTGTCTTAACGCTACTCTCACTCACTGAGTAGGCATCAGGTTCCTTATGAATGTATAGTTCTCCATCCAACACCAACCGTGGATCTCCGCAGAGCCACCGCAAAAGAGAAAGTTCCTCCTCAATCCAAAACATGCCATGAACAGGTCTCCCAAAGCGTGAAAAACACGTTGATTTGAGGGATTCAGCACGTTCAGCCACGTACGAGATAATACGCACGCCGTCATGCTTCGGCGAGATAAAGTATGGTGGACCATCTGGTGCACCTACATGCAATGATGAATCTGTGGTAGTCGAAGAAGAAGAAGCAGAAGCAGCAGCGCGCTCTACGGTATCAAAATTAGATAAAGCCATCGGTACAAAAGGTAGACTACAAAGAATGCGACAAAACCTCATCATCCTTGAATGTATATTTCTATAAATATAACTGTATGTGTGTATGCCTGTGTCTATCTATCAAGTACGAATATAGATGATGTATCCGTAATTATATCTATGCGCTTGCACGTCGGTGGTTTCGGCGTATCCCAGTGTGTGTACGTGTGCCTCTGGGTACGTATACGTACGCGTATGTGTTTGTGTGTGTGTGTGGTGGTGGTGGGGGAGGAGGAGGAAGGTGAGGCGGAAAGAAGACGACGAAACGCACTTAAAGCACGAGATTAAAAACAGCCTATTTTACGTTAAATACACACAAGCAAACGGAAAAAAACACACGATAATACATCTGCGAGAGAGAGAGAGAGAGAGAGAGAGAGAGCACAGCTGCGTGTTTCACGTCATGGTAAACCTCCGTTTTGCGGCGTAGCCGTGGAACCCTCACACACCACAATAAGCATTCTCCGTGTACCCGTCTGCCCCTCACACATCCCTCTCCTTGACCCCGCTCCAGTCAGCATACTTGAGCCTAAGGAAGGAAACTTCCGCACTAACGCGCACCAGCTGACGCTCGCGTTCCTGATCATGCGCTTTAATGCGACGCCAAAGTTCCTCGTATTTTGCCATTGTGTCATCTTGCTCCCGTTTCGCCTTCTGTAGAGTCTCCTCAAGATGAGACAACGCTCCAGCTCGTTCTTCCAAGCGCATTGCTTCCTCTTTCAGACGTTGACGTTCCGTGCGCCAACGCTCTTTTTCTTCCCGCCTCTGTGTGGTAAACAACTCACGTTCCCGCACCAGCGCTTCCCGTGCGGCCTGAAGCTCAAGCAGCTCCGCACGACTCTCACACAGTGACTGACGCGTACACATGGAGTCTGCGTCTTTCCCTTCCTTGCAGAACCCTCCGGGCGAAGCGGGGCGGCCCACACCAGAAGACCCACAATGTGGCCGCATCTCCTCCCGCAGCGTAGCTTCTACAGCATAAGCAAAGGTCTCACTACAAAATTCCACATGTTGCACGAAAAGACTCACTGTATCCTGCATGAACTTCCACACCACACTCGTAAATGCGCTCCAAGTTGAACCTTCACCAGAAGGAAGAGAAACATCTGCCGTCCCGTTACACGATAGCTTCTTGAGATGCGAATGAATGGGCATGTATATACACCGTGGACCGCCGGCAGTGTCAATGTTCCAAAGAAAGCCCTCCATGAATCCAAGGCAATGCGCCCCACGCACCACCTCATTCATGTCAGAGACATCCTTGTCAGCAGGAACCGTCGATAGAGATTGAGGTATAGGCTCATCGTGAGACAACACTGTAAAGGCATGGAGAAGCCAATAACGGTGTGGATTCCACGCTAGCAGCAATCCAGAACTATCACAGGAAAACACGACACCAGAGGCTGAACATAGTGCTACCACAGATTCCTTGTGCCCAACGAGCATGCGCATGGAGTTAACTTGAAGAGAATCTTCTCTTTCCTGAGACATTGCCGCCTCCACTCTCGTCTCTTTCTCTTTCTCTTCAGAGGAGGTGTGGGTGTTCCACGCCTTCCCATGCCCTGTGTTGGCACCGGTGAGAAGACAGTCAAGGTGTACAGGATCGCTTACATCCCACACGTGAATGAAACAGTCCTCCCCGGCACTCCAAAGCAGACCACCACTACACAAGCTGGGAACATAGAGACCACTAAGCACACCGCCTGTGTGACCCAAGAGGGCAAACGGCGCCTGTCCGACTCGTCGCTTCCCAAGAGGCCAAACATGCACCATGGCGGAATCTGGGCCCACCGAGACAAGGTAGTCGTCACGCATGAGGACCATTTGCGCCAATTCCCCAGTGTGTTGACCAACCTTCCCGGTAAAGTCAAATGGATCCTTCAGCGACCATGAATAAAGGGTGCCGTCTGCAGAGCCACTATACACATCATTACCACCCATGGCAAAACACGTGAGTGAAGCTGGGTGGTAGGCGACACAGAGAGTGCCGTCGCTAAAAGATACCTCGCCACCTGTCGACCCCCCCTTCAGAGAGAGTCGAAACACCGTGACGCCGCCCGCTTCGTCACCACACCATAACAAAGAATGCATCGGGACAACGAGCAAGGCAGTCACAGGTGCCATCGTTCTTTGACCTCCACTGGCGATGGGTTTTCCAATCCAAAACTGAAACGCCTTGACATTTCCCTCCTTACTTCCATAAAAAGTTATCGTGTCCCGCATTTGGCCACAAGGTCCAGGTGACATACTCCCATCCGCTACACATGTCACCGACGCATCCCCACAACACTCCTCAAATGAGTGTAGTAACACACATCTCGTAGGGCTTTGAGCTCTACACTGGTTAGTAGTTTGCCCGAGCCCCTTTTTGACCTTTTGCGGGGAGCATGGATGGGACATCTCCCAATTGCCTCATAAATGTGCCAATATAAAACAAAAAAAAAGGTAGGGAATAGAAAAAAAAAGGGGGGGGGGGGAAATAATAATCCATTGTTACTGTTTGCATATCTACACCTCAGACGGGAATACGTGCTCGCAATGCAATGTGTAGCAATGTTCAAGAAAGGAAAAACATGACAGTAGGGAACAATACAGGATTTCTTCACGTACAAGAGACACAGAGACGCGACCCACACGCAACGACGGTCCAAAATAAATAAATTTTAAAAAACTCCAGTCACATTTCTTCCGCCACGCACACGCACAAAAAAAAACCCGCATCAATTTAAAAGCAAACGCCTAACTATACCACCACACCACGCTACTAGGGCGAGGGCGAATAATACGCAAACCCCCCAAATGAAACGGTGCGCTTGCGCCCCTTATCACCGGCATTTACATCCTTCAAAGCATTCTCCGCATTAGCATTGATGCAGCTTGTGTCCTCACCGTGCTGTGGGATGGTGCGAGGGTGGTAAGAACCATTACAATTGGCAGCACCGGCCGTGGAGGCACTGCTGGAGTGCGGCCGATCCCTTGCTGGTTTGGGGACCAACGACATAAACAGTGCCGCCAGCGAGCGAGCCCCGCGGCGGAGTTCAGCTTTTGTTTCGGCCAAAGTTGCTTGTTCTGAGGGCCCCTCTACGTATGGATGCTGAGGATCAATTTCTATTGCCTCCTTTCCCAAATCCCCTTTGCCGCTGCTGGATAGTTCTAGCAACTGCTCCCTCGACGTAGGAGGTGCGTGAGCAACGCCGTCGCCTTCCACATGGTTCTTCACGTCCGTTGAAGTAGCAAGAATTTGCGTTTGCTTGAGCGGTGAGGAGCAAAAACAGATGCGTTCAAGCTTATCATTTTTCTCCACGAGGATGGCGTTCATTCGTGCCTGATACTCATTTATGGACTGCAGCTGTTGAATGCAAAGCTTTAAATCTCCATTCTCTCTCTTAAAAATCAAACAACTTCTCCGGCATGTGTCGAGTTCGTACTGAAGATGTTCCACCATGGACTGCAAAAGTCGTTGGGCACGGATGCTAGGGAGCGAGATATCCACTTCCGTGAAAGCTTGTCGTTGAGGTACCTGCATAGCGTTGACGTCTCGGGAAGCATGCTCAAGGCGGCTGTAGTAGTGAGTCGTGTCCGAGGAAGACAAAACATTGTTATGCACAACAGCAGCTGGAGAAGGCGTTGTGAAGTTAGTTGCTGTCATACAACACGTCATGTCACTCCCTGCATGCGAGTGTTTTTGCTTCTCTCGTTGCAACGTCGTACGCACTGGCATGTGGGAACAAGACGCTGGGGACAGGGACGGACTTCCACGTGTCGAGGCATCCTTGCCCTGTCTCACCGTACTGACAGATGAAAAACAAGAGAGATTTACACTGTCTTGCATTGTGGTGGTATTCAGAGAAACCACGAGGCTAGAAGAAGACGGCCCAGAAGATGTTTTCATCCAAGACCATGATGGTAAGTCCACAACCTGCAGTGTAGGTGGGAGCATTGCGTGAACCGCGGCAAGACGTCGTTTACTGTTTGTCACTGGATTCTCTGCAAGTGTTGCGGCCTTGAGCGAGGGGAGGAATTGGATGGGTGACAGCCCTTCAACATGCTGAATCATGTTTTGTCGAACCTGCAGTTCCTCCAGTGACGTGCATTTCTCCAAGCCCGTAAGTGACGCAATTCGATTGCAGGAGGCGTCTAGGATGCGCACGGCTGCCGGGAGGCCTTCCAGAGTTGTGATTTGATTATGTGAGACCACCAACACTTCCAACTGTAGAAGTGGTGAGAGGCCATCCACCTCCGTCAAAACATTGGAGGATGCATTGAGCTGCCGCAACGACAGTGGAAGCCCATGCAAAAACGCAACATTGTTGTTTGACACATCCAGTGAGGTTAACATGGAAAGCCAGCGCATTCCGTACAAAGATGAGAGACTGTTGCAAGAGACATCTAACCGAGTAATGGCGTGGAGCATCTTCCTTTCCTCTTCGGTGGAGAAGGCTGTGGGGTCAAAGTCGATGAGTTTTCGTCGCGAGAGGTCGATTAGCATGCGGGTTTCCGGTTTTGACACGACTCTAGTCTCTCTGTTTGGATAGGTCGTGTCGTATTGCGAGGTTCGCCTGAGAAGGCCACGGCCATGCAAAGCAAGCCTCCCTGCGTTTTGTTCTTTTTGCTGGACCGTGTGTCGTCACCGCAGCACTCACCACGGCACCCACAATAAATAAATAAATAATGCCTGAACCACACAAAACAAAACCAAAGCAAAAGGAAAAAGAGATCCTCAACCCCCTCTTCCCACCTCACCCCTCCACAGAGAACGAAGGAGAGAGTGAGAAACTCTCTATAGCAGACAAAAGAATAAAAACTGCAAGCAAAACATTAATAGAGGAAGTCAAGGAGCGAAAGCAGCAATCACCGCACAGACCACATTATTGGCAACGGAGTGAGGGAAGCATGAAAGGATTATGACAGACAATAATAATGTGAGGAAACGACAACAATGAGTGACTGATAACGCAAAAGTGGATTGCCGATACTTCCCTTCTTCGTTCCCTTTTTTGTCACTTCCGTTCTTATTCTTGTTCGCTCGCTCCAAGTCCAAGGAGCCTGAATAGCCTTATTCCTTCACCAGACTACCGTGAGGCCACCGACACGACCTCCTCGTCCTCCTCATTATAGCCATAGTCAATATCGTCATTCTCGGTCCAGTTCCTTGCTTCCTTATCCTCCGCACCGGCAGATGCCTCATGCTTGCCCGTGAACTCCGCACCTGGGAGTTCCACAAGGTGTACCATCGCCATGCTCACAACATTACCCTCTTCAGCAGGCAAGACAACGTTGAAGTACTGAGGAAACGCCTGCACGAGGTAAAACACACCACCGTAACGCTTTCGCACCGCCTCCTGGGCTCCACGCGGAATATGCAAAATGATATTCGAACATGCCTTGGCACCACGTTGTTGAAGGTATTCGGCTACCAACCGCACGAGGTCTTCCTCAGAGAATTCTTGCCGAATGACACCACGCGGTAACGGTAGCCCTGGCCGGCAGACACACCACTGCCCCGCCACTTGATATTCAAAATGTTGGAAGTATTGAGGATAATTGTTAAAAAAATTCCAAAACCGCCGTGGCAGGTAGTTAAGCAACTCCTCCGGGACATTCTTCTTGAGAAAGGTTTTGAGTGGCACGTGTCCCTTCTTGGGAAGATAGCGATGGAGCTCCCGCGCAAGGTTGTCAGGGTCGTGAAAGGGGTTTGATGGATCATTCCGAAAGGCGATGCGACGGCGGAGGGAGCGGATCTTCTTTTTGTTCCGTTCACTAATAGCAATGGTCAGCTGTTCCTCAAGCGATAGCTGATCCTTTTCGATGCGGTCCTTAAAACGACGCCGCATAACCACAGAGCCGTCCGCGGAGAGTGAAAAAACGGCAGCATGAAAGTGAAAAAATTGCAGAAGCGTCCCGTAGAATAATTTCACCTCCTCCTGAATGGAGGCAGGGAGGGACTCCTCAATGTGGCGAATGTCCACCTGTCCGTCCTGTGGGACCAGGCGAAGGATGCAATTACAGCTCTTCGGCGTTGGTGTTGTTTCACACTCAAGGCCATCGTAACCCGGCGGACGCAGAAGTACTGAGCCCCCGTCACGGTCAACGGCAAAGGCAAAAACGTGCTGCATTTGGGCAAAATAAATAATGGCGGCGGGACCTTTAAACGGCAGCTTTACCACCGCTGCATGGCCTACACGCTCCAACAGAATGCGGAGCGGCATCCAACGCCCAGTGATACCCCCAAAGGAGGCAATAAATGGATCTAGTGCAGCGGGATCAGGTCGATAGCGTGCAAAACGCTCTTCTGCCACCTCGCAACCGTCCAAGGCAAACTTCGCATAGCCACCATAAAGACGAATATATTTTCGCCCAGCCACTGTAACTACTTCTGAAGCACTATGTTTAAAGTATCGTTCGATATGCTCCTCCGTATACCCAGGCATCTCTTCCAGGACCTCTCCCAATGGCACAAAGAAAGGCGGAATGTATGAAACAAAACTACTAAGTGAGAGAACGGCTCCACTTCCTATCATCGTTGGAGAGGGTAGTGTTGATATTGTTACATCAAAGTCTGGAGGAGGTGGCGGGTACTCTCGAAGTCCAACATCGTAGTAGAAATCTACAGGCGGAATATCGTTATGGGCCTCCACAGTTACTCTTTCAAAGGGCCGCACATAGGCCCCAACTAGTTGATCGGAACTGGCACCACTTCCACCACAACCATGACTACTCGCAGCTTCCTTGTCACTACTGTGGCCAGAAGCATTAGACGTCTTTTTGGCTGCCTCACCTGACGGTGCATCCATCTCCTTTGGTGGAACTCCCTTACAGAACATAAGACCTGCTTGATTCAAATGCACCCCAAGCTCGGTGGTCTTTGACAATGCCGCCGCAAGTGTTTTGTGCGGCCGGACGTGGCGCCTACGGCTATCGAGAGAGAGGTCATTGTAGAGAGTTCCCACCGGAATCCACTTTCCAGAGGGAACACGCTTCAGAAGTTCCCTCAGTTCTTCAATAAGAGATGGGTGGACAGGTGGGTCTGCGGAAGCGTTACCAAGCGTACCATAGTTCCTCCAAAGTGAGGACCAATAACTTCCTGTAGAAGCATTCACGCCACGTCGTCTGACGCACCGCGTCACGCAGGAGTACCGAAGCATCTGCTGCCAAGCTATAAAAGCGTATGTGAAAAAATAATAATGATATACGCGCCTTCCTTTTTCCTTTCCAGTGCTCAATTTGGTTTCCAACTGTTGCTTTATGTGGACCTTTTAAGGAAGTTACTACCCCACCGCAATCACCAATAAGCCATACGGAGAAAAAAAAATTGGGGGAAAACAAGCTCACCACTTTTCCGTCAAAGGGAGTCCCTCTTACCATCACAACAAGAAACACAAAAAGATAAATAAATAGTGAAAAAGAGAACGAGAGAGAAAGAGACGACAAGACAAACCTAGATACATACATGTAGTGTATTTTGTTACTTGTAGTATCTTTTCTTCCTCTTCTTATTGTATCACCCTGCCATCGTTGGCTTCTCCGCCAAACTCCTTCTCGTCAATACGACTGCGATCTAATGGTATCTACCGGGCATGCTCTAGCCTATGCTTGCGGTGCAGAAGTGACATCTGTGGTGGACAAACAACAAATCTCCACAAGATACACCGAATGACGCACCCCACATGCAGCATCGCGAATAGACTGTACCTTCCATCGACACCCCCCGGCAAACGGCGTAGCAGTTTCCATCTCATCACCAGTTCGAAGAAGAACAGTAGGGCACAGCACGACATCCTGCGACTCCCCAACCCCGAGTTGCCCATGCATATTATCACCAAAGCCAACAACAAGTGTGTTTTCTAGCAGAATGAGGTAATGTTCCCTCCCTGTAATGGCTCGGATGCAAAGGTTTTTCGCTCCGTGTGGTAGCGGTAACGGGGTCCAGGACGTCACCAACGAGTCCTCTTCGCCCAGCCCAAGCATGCCGCTCCCCATCACCTCCACCTCTGCGGGGGGAGTAGTGGTGTAGCGGAACAGTGTCTCATTGCCCGCGTGCAGAAAGACTCCCTCCTTCTCATCTTCACGTGGAATAGAAGAGGCGTCATCTTCGGGAACATTGCAGTAGTAACAGCCCCAATGGAAGGTTCGAATGCGACCGGCGTTTCCAGATTGATTCTCAGTATAAGTACGTTCTCGCAGAATCGCTGCGGAATGCAGGTGCATCGCATGAAGGCTCAGAATTTCGCGATAACACGTGGCCGGTGGTGCCACCATTTGATCAAGTAGGATGGGAAAAAGTACCGGTTGGAAGTGCAAAGAGGAAAAAAGGGCTCGACGAGGTTTCACTGCCTTCCATTTCTTCTCCATACAAATCCGAATACGGGCGTCCGAATCGGTTTCTTCCTGCTGCTTCTGCAAACCATGACTCAATGCATACTGCATCGTTTTTGTCTTCGCCTGTAATACAGACCACGCATCTCCGTCGTAGCCAAGCTCACCAAAATCCCCCTTCCCTGCCGCTGCGATAAGAAGCGGGTAGCACTTTGGCGGAGGCGCTTGCTGTCGCTGCACCTCGCCGTTGTCTTCCCTCACCACCACGACATCACGGAAGGCAAGAAGCGTATGATGCGTCCCGCAGCTCACATGCGTCAACTGACCCTGTTGAATCAAACGGCACTCACCGATTTCATCACTCTCCCTGACATTACTGTTGTTGGCTTGCGCTGCCGTCAGCAACGTCGTAAATGAGAGGTGATCGCCCTCGTCCAGCAGGCCAAGCTGACCATCACTGTTTTTGCCACACACAAAAAGTCCCTTCTTCGTCCATGCAAAAGTGTGATAGGCGCCACACTGGATGTCTATGACGGTTTCCTCGTCAAAGAAAGGGATACGGGTGGGAAGCGGCACAGATGACGCAGAGCCGCGCCCCAAACCAAGCTGGCCGTGTTCGTTTAGCCCCCAACCATAGACACCCGTCGTGGTGATGGCAAAGTTATGGTACCCGCCGACGCGCACAGCAAGGATGGTGCCCAATGGCTCCCCGGAACCATTCATATCCGCCGCGTTGTTATGGCCCTCCCGCAGGACAGTCCCCAAGAAGAAGGGAACAAGTGTAATGCGGCTTTTTGACTCAAGTGTCCCTAAACCGAGACGGCCGTCATTGCCGCAGCCACAGACGGCAATAACAACGTGTGTGGATGGGGTGTGAGCAGCAGGGTCATGCTGATTGCGCGACGGCTCTTCCATTGATGAGCCTTATTGTTACGTGATGTGACAAAAGAAGATGAGAGCAACCTCAAAGAAGTGGACGAAGAAAGTAATACACGGAACAAACTGCGCCCCTCCTGCTGGTGCTCTCAACAAACGCATTTTGTGCGAGGAAAACGCAGTCCGCCTTCCTCACCTCTCATTGAACCGACTGAAAGGGATGTCATAAAACAAGTAGAAACGGAAACACACATTTCCAAGTATGTTAAAAACTCAATCACATGTTCGATAGGAAGCTCCAGATGAGCCGCCCGCGCTTCCAAAGGCCTATCGCAGCTCGAACAGTTCGTTAAGGAATATGATGCGGCCCGAGGACTATCACTGATGCAACAGCTCATCCACCGCTATTTTCCTCCCTCGCATGCCGAGTTTCACTGAAATTCATATAAAGGCACAACATAACGTCCAAAGCAGCAAAAGATACACGATACGTTCCAAACTCGCTGCAATATTTTCATCGTGCCCTGTCTTGTTATTTTCCACACACACCCACACACGAGGCAAGGCTACAATGTGCCTGGGCGGTATTGAGATGGGTCGTGATCCCACCACTTCACATATGCTTTCTCTCTTTCCCTTCCTTCCTACTCGCCAAGGGAGAAAGAGAAAGGTGAACGATACACAAAGAAACAACATGAGAAAACATCCCACATGCGTAGCCAGACACATGCCCTTACACACACACACAGAGAGAGAGAGAGAGAGAGACGCCCCCAGGGAAAGCGAGTGATATATATATATATATAGAGAGAGAGAGAGAGAGAAGGAGAGGGAGAGTATGTAGGAGAGAGTCTACAAACAGGCAACATTCTTTTTACTATGATTCTTCTTATCAGTGTCCTTCTCCTTTTCGAGTGCATTTTACCTCTTCTTTTTTTCCGTTTTGTTTTGTTTTGTTGTTGCTCCCCTCTCCCTCTCCCACTCTTCCACGCACACACAATTTGTTAGCTCCTCTCAGTCATTTATTCGGCATTTAACAATTACTTCCTTCATACCTTTCCACACCCAATCCATGCTGCACGAATGGGGGAATCTTCTTTCTGGTTATTCCTTCCCTTTTTGATTAGCAGCGTCACTCAGTCCACGCAGAGACAATGCCGTCCTCAGTGGCGGTGAACACCCATGGCAGAATCGGGTGCCACGCGATGGCGTAGACCCCGCGGCGGTGCTTTAAGATCTTCACAGGCACCAACAAGGGGTTCTTGTTGTAGTCGTCGTACACCATGCCGTGGAAGACGTGCACCTGACCATCCGATGCACCAGAGGCAAAAAGGGGATACGCGTTGGTGTTTGTGTGGAACGCTACAGCGTTGACCACCCCCTTATGAGAGCGCATACGCTTGTAGGGTTTGTCGGAGAAGTCACAATCGTACCACTGCGTGTGGCTCGTGGTGTCACCTACCAGGAAGTTATCCCCTTCGGTATGCACGGACAGGCATGTCGTAATGCCGCCTGGGGCCTTGTACCGCCTCTGCAGCCTGTGGGCCATAAGGTTGTAGACCCTCACAGAGTTCGTCGTCGCTAGGAAGAAAAGTGGTTCGCGCGGGTGAAATTTGCAGTCTGTGACGATCTCCGAAAATTTACGGAACGGGCAAAACACCTTTCGCTTTGACAGCTGCAGCATCACCGTCTGGCGATATTTGACGTGATCCTTTGGGCAAAGCGCACAGAGGTAGTCGCCACGGGCGTGGAAAGTGAAGCGCTTCACCTTACCATGCAACGCAATTTTGACCACAATGCCAGCACTGCGCTCTTGGGCTGAGGCGTCAACAAACTCTGCGCGCTTTTCCCGCTCCTCCATGTCATGAAGATCATGGAGGAGGCGATGCGCAGACTCGTCCTTGTCCAGTGTTGTTTGGGTTATGCCACCACCTCCAAGTGAGGCTTCACCGCCAAGGATGTGATTTTCCGTTGACTGCCTCAGTGCACTGCCAGGGGCACGAAGGTAACGAATCGTGTGCTCATTTACCACCTGATGTGCGGCAAAGGTGGGAACAATAAACACCAGACTGTACTCCACAGCAACTGCTAAGATGTTGAGCGCCTTTACAGGGCAGAACTCAACTTGCTGCACTGGCCCCCCCATATCGTAGCGCTTCATCAGCCGGCCTGTCATTACCTCATACACACGCACTAAATGATCATCGCAACCCGTCGCGAGAAACTGCCCATTCGGACTAACCGACACACTACGTACCGTTGCTGTGTGACCCTTGTACTGGAATGAAAGCCGCTCTGGATACGGTCGAAGATCCTTCGGATCCGGCAACTCTGGCAGCAGTTTCGAGGGGTCCACAACAAGACGGGTACGTTGTGCGCGGGGAAAGAGCGCGAGATCAAGGCAGCGTTGATATCGATCCTGAATCGTGTGGTGATAGAAAGGTACGTGTCGTAGTGCATCAAACGCTTGTGGTAGAAAGTATTCCTTTCGGTCAATCTGTCGCAGCCTGGCAAACCGCTGCCGCGCCTTGTCGCTCGGAAGATACTCCGGTGGAGGACGATAGCTCTCATATGTGCCTGGTGGCGGAACCTTGGGCTTCGGCACGCGGTTTTGATACTTGAACTTTGCATGGGCCTCCATCTCCACCTTGCTGTCGTCCCACACCACAAGAGACTCATCAGGCAGTGCCTCCTCCTTCTCATCTGTTTTGTTTCCTTCCGCCTTCATCATACGACGCACCATCTTTTCAATGACTTTCATGTCGTGCTGTGCAGGAACAAACTTTTTCTTCGACGGACCGCCCGCACGTGCCAAGGGGTGATTGAGTGGGTCGAACTCAACGCTATCCGTTACCACATCAGCGTACATGTTGTAGTTGGCATTTGGAGTGCGGTTACGCTGCAGGTTGAAGATCATCTGCAGGTCTGCGTTGCTCAGTTTTTTATTCTCGTCATGCAAGGCGTCGTAGATGGTGCGCAGCGCATTGGGGTCATCAGTTGCCTCTAACAGCCGCTCCAAGGCGGAGCGTTCGCTTTTCATCAGCTTGCGACCCTCAACATCATAGCCGAAGTGCGCTTCATCCTTGTACCACTCAAGGGGAATGTCCCCGACGCGGTTGAGGGTTGCCTCATCCTCGCTGCTGTCCGATTCATCCAACTTCTGCGTCGTACCGAGACGAATGAGATTCAAAGTACTCCCCGGCTTCTCCACCAGGTCCTGTGCGTCAGGAAACAATAACACGCTACCGTCACCATTGTCATCGTCGCTGTCGCTCCAGATAACCTCATCCCGCAAAGCCAAGGCAGTGGTGGGTGGAAGGTCCTCATTCGACGGCGCCTCCTCAGCCACTGGTTGCTTAGGGCGCGGTGTCAACGGCAAATCTTCGGCCGGGGCTGCCGCTGTTGCTGCTGCGTCTAATGGTGGTGTTGCCATCCCTGCACGAGAAGACATTTTCCCAGCTTTTGCAGCAGTCATTTCACGGGCCATACGGGGAGTCGCGACGCGTTGCACGCCGCGGGACGCAGAACCACGTTTCGGAGGCATTCCTTGATATCTGTCAAGACAACGCCCATCAGTACACACGGTACGAAGAAAAACACAAAAGAAAAAGAATAAATAATAAAAAGTAAAAAAAAAGAAAGAAAACAACATTCAAGGGCAACACGCGGAGGTTGCACCAAACCACACAGAAGCTGCTGTAATAGCAATAATAGATTCCCACTTCTTCTGCGTCTTGACAGCGCCCCATTCTCTCCCCCAGCAGCAGCAGCAGCAACAACAACAACAAATACAACAGGGAAAATAAAACTACGCGGATTGTCCATCTAAAGAAGCCTCAAGAATGCGCAGATGTGTGAGAAGTGGAAGACGTCGCCAGCCTCCTTTGCAGCTCCGCAGACTCCGTAAGGAATCGCTGTAGTGGACCCTGAACAAATGCCATGGCGCAGCTGTATCCCTCTACGCTGCAGTGCGTTAAGCCTCCGTCGTGAAGTGCATCATCCGCTCGCCGTGCAAAGTGTAGTTTACGTCGAAGGGCATTATTTTCATTCTCAAGCGCGCATCGCCGGCGCCGCTCCGCCTCAAATTCAACCTCAATACGTCGTATTGCCTCCGCCGTGCAGTGAAGAATCCGCTTGATGTCATCAATGCAAGGGCTTTCTAGGGAGTCAACACTATCTGTCAGTTCTCCTGGTTGGTCACCTACACGACCTTTGTCAGCCCCAGCAACTGCAAGCTGAGCCTGAGCAAGACGTTGCTCAAGTTCCCCAATACGTCTTGCTTGCAACAATGCTGCCTCGCGAAGGCGCGCGACTTCCTCGACAGCTGCAAGGGATTCCTGCTCGCGCAATTTCGCCGCAGCGGAGAATTTTTGTGCCTTCGCCTCAGTTTCCAACAGGCACCGCTGCAGGCCACGTGCCCGACTTCGTTCCGCGGCCCGATCTAGTGTCACCCTACACGCAGGATTCATCTTGCATGTATTGGAATTTCCCTCCCTGAGCCTACAAGATAGTGGATTCGCCGTACCCCCTGTTCTAGTGGAAGGGGTGGCTGTTGGAGTTGATGGGGCCTCACATCGGTTGGTAACGTTCAAATCTGAAGTCTGAGATATCTCCGCGCTGGTGGCAAAGTTGGGCTCCACCAAGCGATATTCCACCATGTTTGGTTTCTCCGTCTTCTCACGTAACGGCGGGGATACGGCGTCAACGCCGGGCCATTCCTGCATTTTACACAGCAGGCCCCTTGAGAGGGGTGATACAACAACTGGCGACAGTGACGAAAGCGACGTCGAGCAGGCTGCATCCTGGCTGCCGCCGCCGCCGGCTGCAGAGGATCGGGCGATGACCTCCATCGTCGTTCTAGCAACGGGCCACACCTCCACTCTACTCCAGAGTCTGTTCCGAACTGCCACCCGAACGGAGCTGCACTACTGAAAGAGAGAGAAAGAGAGAGGTGCGCAGGGAATCACTAACATCTCTACGAACAGTCAATGCCAATGGAACAGAAGGACATCATCAAATCAGGCGACTCTGCCTCTACACACTCACCAAAGCAAACAAGCACACGGAAATAGGGCAGAAGAATATCTATTTTCACAAAATCATCTACATACAAATCTCAGCGAATGGAAATAACAAATTTCCAGAGTGTTCGGGATTGTAACGTACAACTCTAGCATCACTATTCACCTCCCTCTCTCCCTCCCTCCCTAGCAATCAAAATCTGATCCGAACACTTCTATTTTATTACTTCATCGCTGCCCAAACTTTCTCTCCACCCTCTGGTTTCCTCCCTGTTTCTTCTGCCCCTTTTCTCTCCCCACCGTTAACCAGTTATGATGTGGGGAGCACGTGAAGAAATATGATAAAAGATGAACTGACAGCCATCACATAAAACATGGGTGCGCGCATGCGCTTGCGGGACCACTCAAATGCTTTGTGGTAGTATATATATATATATATATATATATATATATATATAGT